GATACGGGCCTAAAGGCAATGAGCTAGAAGGGAGAGGTGTGAGAGTGAAGGGTCTGCCATACATAAGTTCGAGGGGGCTGAGGCCTGTGGGCTTGTGGGGGGCAGCCTGTAGGTGAGTGGGTGACTGGTGGGAAGGCCAAAATGAGGGATGATTTCTGAGGTGAGAGCATGCATTGCTGCTGTAGCATCCTCTGAAGTGTGGGGAAAATCCTCAATCCAACCTGAAAAGCTATCTACTGAGGTTAGAAGATAACATGTCCTTTTTTGGGGAGGCATATGAATAAAGTCAATTTGCCAATCCTGACCAAGAGTGTATCCTCTGGCCTGGTGGGTGGGAAAGGACCAAACTTGGAGGCCACCTTGATTTTAGCAGTGAGTACACAAAGCACAGTTTTGAGTGATTTTTTTTTTTGTAATTTGGCCATGTGGAGAGAGTAATATAAGGGCTGAAGAAGGCATAGTAGGGGTTCATAGCCTATATGAACCAAATTATGGAAATCTAAAAGGATTTGCTCAGCCTCTGTGGTAGGGAGGACATAGTGACTGGAGAGATTATACCAGTTGTCCTTCCTCTGTGCTCCCAACTGTTGGAGGTGTTGTATTTCTTGGGGTGTGTAATGGGATAAGGGTGTAGGGGCCATGAGGAGGACCTGAGCAGGAGAGGAAGAGTGGGGGCCTGGTGATTGAGCAGCCTGTTTTGTGGTTAGATCTGCCAGCTTGTTTCCCTGGGCTATGGGGTTGTTGGAGGTTTGGTGTCCTCTGCAGTGTATAACCCCAACCTCCTTTGGGAGTTGTGCAGCCTCAATAGCTTGTCTTAGATTTACTATGGCATAACCTACAGAGGGGGCGGGTGTGGAGGTGGTGCTCCCATCTATGAACCATGTAATGGGATGCAGGGAGATGTGTGGAAAGAGATTGAGAAAGAGGTCTAAAGCCTCCATGCAATTATGTTTTAAGGGTTGTGAGTGTTTTGGGATGAGAGTGGCTGTATTTAAGGGGAGGGCAAGGTTTGAAGGAAAATTGGGAATTCTCAATGAAAGTAAGTTGAATAAGTTGTAGGCAGGAAGGGGAGAGATTTGACATGGCCTTATGGCCAAGAAGGTCTTGACTCTTTGTTATCCAAAAGTTAGTTTAGAGCTTTCTTGTGCTAAAAGGGTGGCTGCCTCCAAGGCCCGTAAACAGGGGGTCCATCCCCAGGCTGTGGTGTCTTGTTGTTTAGAGAGGTATGCAACAGGGGAGAAAATATCTCCTGCCTCTTTTCCTAAAACCCTGACTGCCAATCTTTGGGTTTTGGTGACGTATAGGATAAAAGGATGAGATAGATTTGGGAGAGATAGAGCTGGGGCTGTGAGGAGAGTTGCTTTTCATCACTGGAAGGGAGAATGAATGGACTTTGTGGGATCTAAAGGAATGGTAGGATCCCCTTCGGCTGCCTCATAAAGTGGTTTTGCTAGCATGCCAAAGTTAGGAATCCACACACATAGAGATATCCTGCAAGCCCCAGGAAAGAGAGAATTTCACTCTTTGTGGTGGGAGTTAGTAGTTCAGAAATAAACTTTTGCAATCCACGGTTATTTCTCTGGTGTTTGGGGTGAGGCAGACTCCCAAGTAAGTGACTGAAGGAGAAGAAACTTGGGCTTGCTGGGAGATACTCAACATCGCCTGGACACCAGGAAATTAAAGAGAGCAACAGGGTGGGCCTGTGAATCCTCATAGGAGGGGCTACAAAGGAGGTGGTCATTCACATATTGTATTAAAGTGCTAGAGGTTGGAGGAAGTTTAGATAAGTCTTGAGCTAAGGCCTGGCCAGAAAGTGGGGCTATCCTGAAACCCCTGAGGTAGTACTGTCCAAATAAGTTGTTGGGCACTGTGCATGTCAGGATCAGTCCTGTACTGAGCCATTAGGCTTTCTAACCGGAAGGATGGGTGTATTGAAAGGCGAGTGGGTAGGCCATAAGAAATGAGAAGAAAGGAGTTTGCGTATGATGGGTTTTAAGCCTAGTAAGTGTTTGTTAGTGATGGGATATTGTGGGACATCAGGGAATAAAGAGGGGTTCTGCAACTTAACAAGGATAGGGGAATGGTGCATAGCAATGCAGGGAGAAATGTCTCCTACTATAGGATTAACCTTGTCTGAGGGGGAGGGGATGGTGGAAGCCTCAGGGGCCAGGTCTGGGTGCGGCCTGTAACAGGAGTATTGTAGCTGGAGTTAAAGTGCTTAGGGTAAGAGTAGCTTTGAATTTGAAAAGAATGTCCCATCCCAGTAAGGGGGTTGGGCATTGAGGCATTATTAAAAACTTGTGTGTGAATTGGGTGTGATGTAGGGTGCAGGAAAGGGGTTGAGTGATCCGTGGGCAGTATGCTGATCCCATGACCCCTACTATTGTGATAGAGGATGGGGTGGTTGGTCCTGCATATTTAGGAAGGGTAAAGTAAGTGGCCGCTGTGTTGATGACAAAAGAGATTGGCTTACCTGCTACGAGGTGAGTTACCCTGGGCTCATGCATGGTGATCTCCATGGGGGCCTTGGGCCTTGGGCATCATCAGTCCTCCTCCTGGGCAAAGCCGAGAAGCTTTGGTAGGGATGGCCGTGAAGCCAAAGGCTGTGGGTTGGGGACTGGGCCACTCCATCTCTCGTGAGTGGAACAGTCAATCCCCCCAGTGACCTGGTTGTTTGCAGTGAGGACAGAGCTCAGGAGGGGGCTTGGGGTTAGAACAGGCCCATGCCCAGTGGCCTGGTTGACCACATTTGGAGCAGTTCTTGGGTGGCTTCAGTGCAGCCCACTTTGGAGTATGTGAGCCTCAGATGGCATTAGCCAGGAGTTGGTATTTGGCCTGGTATTCATGTAAAGCCTCAGAGAGATGGGTTAGGAACTCACTGGGATTTTCAGTGGATCTCTGTGTGATTTTTCTAAGCTTGTCATAATTGACTGACTTGTGAGTAGCCTTTGGAGGCCATAAAGATCCCGATCCCTGTGGCTGGCTTGGTAGTCATAATTTGGGTCCATGCAAGAAACAGCAGTGGCTCCCACAGGCTGCCTGTTATTTTGAACATGTACCTCATCTGCCTGTTGGGCTGCTATCCAGACCTGCTCCCTGTCTTCAGGGGACAGTCACTTTTTGAGTTGGGAAAGGTCCAAAAGAGAAGAGGGGACATGAACTTCGACAATCCCTCCATCCCAGCTACTTCACAGAGGGGGATATAAAGGAGCCGGGGCTGAGGACGAAGAGAGGGAAAAGGTGGAGGGGCTGATGAAGGATTTGGAGCATAAGGAGATAGTCGAGGTGGCCTGCATGGGTAGCAGAGTAGTCTGATGGATTAAAAGATTAATCTATGTCCGGAAAGGGGAGGTCAAGCATGAGCTAGGAGAATTTGAGATGTGGGACAGTTTTGACAGGGAGAGAAAGCAGAGAGAGAAGAAGAAGGCTTGGATCACAAGGAATCTCTCCAGCCTTTGCCGTTTCCATGAGTATCTAAATTGAGAGTGCCATCTTGTGGCCACTGGGATCCATTGTAATGAGGCATTTGAGTTTTAATGTCTCCCTGGAGGCTGAGAGGTTGTCCAGGAGACAGCCCAGAGGCATAGAGCGCAGAGTACAGTAGTGTCCTCTTTGCTGTGCACCTTCTTTTTGAGAGAAAAAAAGCCATGACCAGCTAATGAAGCATCCTTCAATAGCTGGGGGGCATGAGAAAAGTTCCCTTGGCCAGGCACCTGTGCTTTGTAGAGACCAGAGTTGTAGAGAGTAGTTGAGGGAACTTGTAGAAGTAGGCAGGACAGACCCAGTGACACCCTGAATTGAGGCCAATGTTGGATGCATTGGCCTGAAATGGCAAAAAGGAGAGAGTCCTGGAGGCACCTGGTTTCTGCAGGTCTGGGAAGGGTGGCCAAGGGCCAATCAACCCAAGAGAGAGGGGATCATCCAACACCATCGGCCAAAACCCTTCCTGGGTTTTGGCACCATAATGAAAGAAAGTGAGCCTAGATGCCAGGTACTGATCAAGCTGTATTAAAGGAAAAGAATCTGCTGGGCTGCCCTCAAAATGGAGGGCAGCACCAAGTGTGGGGGTGGTAGAGCTTATATAGGGTGCCAAGGGTTGGCTGATACCATCAAGGAGGGGCATTACACTAATGTGGAAACTATGGAACCAGGGTGGAGAACTGCGCCCTTGTGGAAGCAAAAGGGTTTCTGTTTAAGTCACAAGGCTCCTCATGAAGGGAAGGGGGGAGGGGTTTGGTGCTGGAGTGGAAGACAAGGCTGGTGTCTATTTTGTGCTTATTGTGTACACAATGGCACCGGTCACGTCCGAAATCCATCATTATTTAATAAAATAAAAGCTTTATTCTGCATAATATCAATTTAAAAGACATGCAAATACTTGCATAGAAAAAAAGCCTGAAAGGAATTATACCAAAATATTAATAAGGGTTATCTCTGGTTGTTAGAATTATTGATGATTTTAAGTGTTTCTTTGTATTTTTCTCTATTTTAAAAAATTTCTGTAATAGGCACATGTTACTTTTATAACCAGAAAAATACATATTTTCATAGAGAAATTTGGAGCTAGAGTGTTTGCAGTGTGCAAAGAAAATGAGAGGTGGTTTCTAATGAATAGTCCTTCATCCTAGGGGTCAAAGAGAGAGAAGCCTAGGGGAGGGGAGAGTAGGTAAAGGGAACAGCCCATTTTCTGGTCCTGTGGTCTCTTTTTCCCTCCCTTCTGCTGGGCACGGATAATGACCCAATCACTAAAAGGCTGATTTGCAGAAAAATTGCAAGAATGTGTCCTCTTTTCCTTGGGCATTCCTTTTTGGGGGAGGTGTAGGGTGGTAGGAGTGGCATTCTTTTTGCACTGTCTTGCTAATGCTGTCTGCATATAGCAGACCACAAAATATGCACTGTCATTTTCTTTCTAGGCTAATTTTTTTTCAATTTTAGGTGGATGTCATTAGCACCTTCTCAACTCTTTGCAAATATGAAAACTGTATGATTTTTATTTTCAGTGAAAACTGAACCACCTGAGATTTTCAGTGTGAAACCAGTTTTGGGCATCAAACGAATGGTTCAAATAAAATGGATTAGGCCTGCATTGGCACCTGTTTCATCTAATTTAAAATACATGCTTCGATTCAAGACAGTCAGTAGTACCTGCTGGGTAAGTTATGCCATTATAATATTTCTATTAGAATACTTGAGGAAAAGAATCGTTGACTTTTGTTGACCTGGAATTATCTTTTTCACTTTCTACATTGAAGACAGAGGAGAGGCAAGTAGTGAGTACTTTCCTTCCCAGCTTCCCCTTTGGACCTTTTAGATTGGAAAAGTGTTCTACCATAGGCATTATACAGTCTGCACAGGAACATCTGAGAAAGTGAGAAATTTACTTTTGCATCCCATCCTGGTTAGTGTCTATGTTGGCTGCCAGAGATTCTGTGGTTTGGCTCTTTACTTTTTAATTTTGTCAGCCTTTTATAAAATTGTGAAGTATAGCACACATTTAGAAAAGTGAACAAAACTTAAATAATTTAACAAATTATTCGTGCTCATTTAAAAACCACTGAGTTCAAGAGTAGAACATTTCCAGCATGCCAGAGCCTTCTGCTTACTCTTTCCCGATTACATGACCACCCCCTCCTCCCCTTAGAGCTAACTGTTATCCTGATTTTCACGGTAATCACTTTGATTTTATTATTGTTTTGCCATTTAAGCCTGCATCCCCGAAAAAAAAACAAAAACATAGTTTAAGGGACTGTGCTCTCATTCCTTGACCCCAAGGATGGAGTGCGCAAGAGACGTATATGAGGAACGTATAAATGGAATTCACATTGTCCTTTTTTAAGTTTGGCATCTTTCTCTCAATGCTGTTTTTTTATGATTCATTCATACTATGTAATGCTGTCCTTTATATAGGTTATATACCTTCATTACTGTGTAGTATAATATTGTATGAACACAATGGAATCATGACTTAACTCTGTGTTTACCTGATTTTTAATGAGGTTTCACACCCTTTCATGTGTTTATTGGCCATTTGGATTCCTTCTTTGTGAGATGCTGGTTTAAGCCATTTGCACATTTTTTCTATTGAACATTCTGTCTGATCTTTTCATTGACTTGTAGGCGTTCCTTATATATTCTATTTGTGAATCTTTTATTTGTTTTTTGTGTTGCCGACATCTCTCACTATGTGGCTTACCTTTTCACTCTCTTAATCGTGACTTTTGATGAACAGACCTTTTAAATATTAATACTGCCCAATTTTATCAAACTTTTCCTTTATGCTCACTGCTTTTTGTGTCTTGAGACATCTTTTCTTACCTCAAAGTCCAGAAGATATTCTCCTTTTCCATCAATGTGGCCTGAAAGTTATATCACCTATTTTTTTTTTTTTTTTGTAAGCACCTCATATGACTGACTCTTTTTTTTTTTTTTTTTTTTTTGTCAGCTGGCTGATACAGGTAACTCATAGGATTGACTCTTAATCAACTACTATCCAATTAAATCTTTCAGACTACCACCCCCAACAGGACTTGCCACGATTTTATAATTTGTTGGTTTTTAACCTAAGTTCAGGTATTTTACTTGTTCCTGTTGAATTTCTTCATGTTGGTTTTATGCATCATTTCAGCCTACTTAGAATCTTTACTCTGTCATCCAAAACTTACAGTTAACTTTTTATTTGCTAACTTTTCAATATCTTCACATTTAATAACACTTACTTCTATACCTTTATCTAATCTTAATAAAAATGGTGACTGAATCAGTGCCCAGTTTTTAACCTAAGTTCAGGTATTTTACTTGTTCCTGTTGAATTTCTTCATGTTGGTTTTATTCATCATTTCAGCCTACTTAGAATCTTTACTCTGTCATCCAAAACTTACAGTTAACTTTTTCTTTGCTAACTTTTCAATATCTTCACATTTAATAACACTTACTTCTATACCTTTATCTAATCTTAATAAAAATGGTGACTGAATCAGTGCCCAGTGGTAAACCAGTAGACACTGTCCAGAGACATCAACCCCTCCTTCTCTGAGTGTGGTAATTTATTCAGACTTCTATGAATATGTGTAATTACCATGACAGTCATTCAACCTACCTTTTCCATCCTGTCCTGGAGGCTAATATGAAACTCTTTCCTTTGTGGAAACTCATAGACACCATGTCTACTGCATCCTCTCCTGTTCTGTAACTCTTTCACAAAAGAAAACTGGTTAAGTTTCACTTATTCTATGTTCAGAGGTGATGTTGGTCACTCCTCCTCCCAGCTTCCTTTCTAAGCCAGCTGTGGAACCATTCTCCTGCAATCTGACTACATGTAACATTTGGCTTATTGATTTGCAGTTTAGGGAACCCTTAAGCAGGGCAGTCTCTGGCACAGCACAAGCTCATCTTCCTTCATACCACATGTCATGGTCTCAGTGAGCCTGAGGAACTTCTGGGGTGATCTGTTTGCAAGGAAACCTGATTCCTTCTATTTGCTTGAGCCCAGAGTCACTACAGCTACTTGGATAGGGTCCTACAAGAGAAACAAACCATGTACAACACTAAGTGAGGGCATTAAGCATAAACCACTCCAACTCTTGGCATTCTGTTCCCCACCATCTTCATTTTTGCCTCCTTCCTCCCAGTTTCTGAAGTTAAGATGTCCTTCCTCCTGTTCTCCTGGCAGATGTGGGAAGGAAGGTAGAATGTGCAGCCAGTGCCCTCTCTCTTCTTTCAGCTTTCAAATGCAAGCAAGTCTCCTCAGTTCTAAACCCAACCCAACCCATCGCAGCCTTCCATCAGTGGTTCCCACTGTTGATCGGAAAAGGTCTAAATCCTTAACCCTCAGAGACCTGGCCCCTACTGACCCCTGCAACATCACTGCTCACCTTGCCCTTGCTTCTCTAGTAAATCTGAATTGCTTGTTTGCTTTGCATTATGTTGTCTGAATATTCCATGCCTCTGCCTAGAACACCCTCTTCTTTTGTACTTCTGCCCCCATCTATTCATCTTTCAGAATTCAGGGCTGACAAATTTCCTTCTGAGAGCCTGAGCTAGGTGCCTCTCCACTGCGTGCTTCTGTCATTGTACTTAACAATTGACTTACTCAAATTTGTCTCTCCCCTATAAGACTGTAAGTTCCTCAGATGCAGGGACCTTGTTTTTCATCTGTGTTTTCCCTTTGTCTGGCACATGCCTGTGCTCAATAAATGTTTGTTTAACTAAACTAAACCATGTAAAATCAATCCTAAGCTTTCAACATGTACATATAACAAGACCCATATTTGTATGATGCTATATGGGTTACAAAGTGCTTTCTTATACCCCAAATTATTTAATACTTGAAAATATCCTATATATGACACATTGCTATCCCCATTTTTTATAGATTAGGAAATTGAGATGTAGAGAGCTCAAACAAGATCACAAGGCTTGTAAGTTGTAAACCTAAGCCCAAGTTTTCTGATTCCAAGTTCGTCATTTATGTGACCATACTTCAGCAACCTCCAAACCTTCCTCTGGCCCTAGTCTACAGAGGTTGCATCTTTATATAATGAAACCATGGGAACATCCTTGAAAAGGATCTCAAGACTATTTTAAAAGTTTGGTTTAGGCTTTGCACCAAAACTTCTGACTTATCTCTTAAGACAAACAGTTTGGGTAAACTAGGAATTGACAGAAAGCATAGATGGTTGGAAACAAATCTGAGGATGCTACTTAGTGATTCGCTAGAATTCTATTGTCTGCGTTGAGTTGGGGAAATTTTATTTTATTGGCAACTGGCTGGTACAGGGATCTGAACCCTTCACATTGATGTTATCAGCACTGTACCCTAATTAAGTGAGCCAACTGGCCAGCCCGGGAAAATTTTAGATCTAAGCCTGTATATGAAGGATCAGTTGATCCTGGACCCTGTGAAGGCCAAAGGCACATAGCCTGGACAAAAAGCCAAGCTAAAAGGACGTTAAAGGCACATTCTTTGAAAGACTGAAAGCTTTCTTGTTTCCTCTGAGGCTGGGGCTGAGAAGAACAGGCTTTTGTGGCTACATTAGCTAGAGCTTTCTGAGCAAGAATGTGGTGAGAACCACCAAGTGGGCCAGACCTGCTGAGGGTAAGAGCAAAGCAGGAGGAAAAATTAGAAAGATGAAAAAAGAAAGAATATTTTATATTTTTAAAAGCATGAAAAGTGAAATAGAGCTTCTGTTAGACTTGCTTACCCTTGTCGTATGGATTGGTATTACTTTTATTTTGAATTACATAGGGAGGGCACCATGTGGTTGGCCTTCTCCTAACCATCTTACTCCTGTTCCAACTGGATCCCATAACTAATGATGGATTGTCCCAAGTTATGCTCCTCACAATCTTAGTCTGCTGCCCCAGAGGTTCCAGGGACTATTTGGATGAGGATGCTCAGGGAACCTGGGATTCAGCAGTGAAACTGCCATCACCTCCGGACCCTCCTCCTTGCTGCACCTCACTAGGCTGGGAGTTCAGAAGTGTCCATTGGCAGCTGATGCTCAGCTTTCTGCCACAGACATACATCCTCCTTTTGCCTAAACTCCTTTAGGCCCAGGACATGGAATTAGGTACTTATTTTCACAGCTGTTACATACACCTATGAAAAATCAAGACTCCCTTCTCTTGCAGGGTTCCATAGGAATGTGCTGTGTGCATACCAATGAATTGGACATATCTATTAGTGCAGTTTATTTTTATTAATCAACTCAAAATAAGTTTTATAAGCCAACAGCTAAAAGTTTATATTGTAGCAACAACAACTGTGCTCAGAAAGGAATAGCTAAATTTTTAGTTTTTGTTGGAGGGGCTGGATCCAGAAGGAACTCTAGAGATTTTATAAAGCAATACCCTCATTTGACTAATGAGAAACTGACATCAAGAGAAGAGAACTGATTTATTTACCTCTCCCCTGCCTAAGAGAGCGTCCAGGCTGTTGAGACTTTTAGCAGGTTGACTGGTCACTCAAAGACCAACAGTTTGAAATGGAAGATTTGGGTAAAGGGAAAGAGCCTAGGGGTGAAGAAATCTGTGTTCTGGGCTTAGATCTGCTGGTCACAAACACTGAGGTTGTCCATGGTCACTTAACTTTCCTGGGTCTTGTCTGTGACATGAGGATTGAACTTGATGCTGATAAGGTCTCTGTCCCTGCTATTCTGTGAGGCTGTATCTCTAGGTGTTAACCGTTTATGAGTTTAAGCTGAGGCCCTTGACCTGGTCAGAGGGCTCTACCTTGCATCTTCCAGAACAGCCAGGGCTCTGCTCATTCAGACCCGGCCCAGAGGCAGGAATTTCTGCCCCACAAGCTTAGAGATAGATAATGGGGAGGGAGGTGGTGGTTCACGGGACAATTCACATCTATTTAGGTGCAAATTGTTCCTAGGCATGTGTAGAGGTTTATTTATGAAAATGATACACTTTAAAATTTGAGAGAGCGTTACTAGTTCTGAAAACTTAAAATCCTTGCGGAGTGAAGAGGAAAAATGGAAAGATAACAGAGGCTGTCTCCATTTCCACTCAGGGTTGTCTTTGTTTTGTAGATGGAAGTCAACTTCACCCAGGGCTATATGAATACCAACCAAGCCTACAACCTCACAGGGCTGCAGGCTTTTACAGAATATGTCGTAGCTCTGCGATGCATGGCCGAGGAATCAACGTTCTGGAGTGACTGGAGCCAAGAAAAAGTGGGAACAACCAAGGAGGAAGGCAAGCTGCTTCCTGTAATTCCCTTTCTGCCTGCTCCAGCGTGGGGCTGCCTAGGCCTGGCCTTGATGGGTTTTATTATTATTGGTGGGTTGTGGTGGCTCCCAAGTGCCGAGCTTGGGAATCATGGAATCCTAGGGCCTGGGGAGTCTGCATGGTCCCTCTCCACAGGCAGTCATGTACCCACCTAACCCCCCAGGAGTGAGCCTGTGCTCCTCTGAAGTTGTTAGTTACCTTAGCAGCTTTACGCCCCAAAGGTAAAGGACCTCATCTTTCATATTCTTATAAGGTTCTTATACTATATGTAAAAAGGTATCATATCATTTAAAGGTGTCCTATGATGAGTTAAAGGTAGTACACTCTGGAACTGCTACTAAAACAATAAAGGTATAGCTAATGAAAGAAAGATTACATCTTTAATGACAGTGAGGGAAGGAAAGAGACAGGAATCGTGCATTGATTGAGGCTTACCGTGCATAAGGTGTGGCCATCAAGAACAGTGCTTCCAGCCAGTGGGTGTGGCTTAAATCCCAGCCTGGCCCTGGAGTGACTTTGGGCAGGATACCTAATCTTTAAGCCTCAGTTTCCTCACTATTCCCCCTTTCCATATTGGAACTTAATTTTTAAAACTGAGTTTATGATAGTGCCTACTTTTTTTCAAATTCATAAACCGTTTCTTTCTTTCTTATATGATGAAGTGCCAGTTGTTTAATACACACCACCTCAAATCTTCTGTTTGAAAACTTCTAAGTTGAATATGCAGCACTATCTATTTTCTTTTGGATTTCAACATATTGATTATTAGGGTTACTTACTTGACATTTAATTTAAATGTCTACTTGGCTACGTGATACAGATATAATTTGATTCCAATCCTGGCTTTATTACTTAAAAGCCTGTGCTGTTTGTTAGTTGCTTTATTTCTCTGTGCTTCAGAAATGGGGATAGAAATATTGCTATATCTAATTATAGGGCTGTGGAATTAAATGAGATAATTCAGGTAAAATGCTTAATACAGTGACACTTGCTAAAAGTTAGCATATTATTGTTGGTTTTTAATAAGGTTACCTGTATGTGTCTGATTACTGGTGGTTGTGGGGATACCCATATGGTAATAGGAACAATATAGAATTAGATTATTACCGTATCAGTCCAGACAAGTGATGCCTTTGAATATGTAGATATTTTGGCTGATTTGGCAAATTTTAATTTTGTTTTTCTTTCCCACAGATATAGAGTTATTATTTCCCCCCCTTTGTTTGAACTGCAAATCCATTATCAACTCATGCTTAATGAAAAGTTGGCTATAATAATTGTAGAAGATTTACATGCTAGTCAGACAATGGTTTTACTAAAAGCTGCATCTGTGGGAAGTCTATATTGGGCAGACTGTTTCTCTTTGGACCATATCTGCAGGAAATAGTGGCCATTTTAATGAAAGAAGAAAATGTGCAATTAAACTCATTCGTTATCACCATCTACTAAAACTAAATGGCTGCTCATGAGATAAATTTAAGGAGAATTTCACTTATATTTCTAATCAAGTTCCTGGAATGATTATTTAATAGTAAGTTTATTTTTGCCTGTATCATCTTTGAGATGAATATTTAGGGCTGAATTGTAATGAACACTTTGTCTTTAGATTTTTCTTAATTATCAATGTTATTTATCCCTGAGTTTGACTTTCCACATGACTGGAACAGAGAGATTCTGCAAGTTAGAGACGCAGTGATTCCTTCTAATTCTGTGGGTTACCTATGAAGGTCTAATGACTTTGTAGCCTTGAGCTAAGGCTGTCTTCTGGGAGAAACTTGTAGACTTGGCTTGTAGACAGGCTGAAACTAGCCTCTTGCTCCCTGTCTGAGAAAGTTGAGTACTGGCTGTTCTATCTTCCAATTCAGGAAAGACCTTTGGGAAATCAGAAAACTGGCAGAGCTCAGTGGAATTCAGATGAAGTCATATGTAAAGACTAAACAGTTCCAGTCTACTTAAAAGCAATTTAGATGGAATTAGATATTATTGGACGACCCTGGTCCTAACAGCTAGACTGTGTTATCCACACTTTGGCTTCTGTAAAAGTAGTTGTAGAAATGTGACTCTCCACTGATGACAAAACAAGTTACTGACTTTATTGCCCTTTGGTATATTTTTTCTATTCCAACTTTAGTTGGAGTTCAGTAATTTCACTTTAAGATACCCAATCACCTAAAATTAAAAAGATCCCTGGGCTGAGCCCGTGGCGCACTCGGGAGAGTGTGGCGCTGGGAGCGCAGCAGCGCTCCCACCGTGGGTTCGGATCCTATATAGGGATGACTGGTGCGCTCACAGCGCTCGCTGGCTGAGCGCGGTGCGGCTGGTCTCAAAAAGAACAACAAAAAAAAGATCCCTGAAGACAATCTCTCAGTATTAAAATAGTTTAGATCTTGGCCCGAGTGGTGAACCTCAGTCTTTGTGGTCCTAATTTCATTATCTCTAACCATGTGACTTCCTCAAGAAAAGATTTAGAGTGCAATAACAGCAGCTTCAATTAGGGGCATCTCCTCTCTTCTCCCAATTACAGGCCACTAGCCTTCTGGACAGTTCTTTAGGACTCTTTGCTTTCCTCTCATGGCTAACGTGTGTGGGTTATTCTTTAATCATCATCTCAGCATTTTGACATTTCAGGTGCATGTCAGAACATTCAACTATAAATTGCCAGTGATCCACCCCTGACCAGAACTTGCTTGAGATGTAGTATTTGAGAGACCTAGTCCAGAGATCAAGTGTCAAGTAAATTCTTTGTTTTTGTAAGCTTTATGCCTGTACAGTTAGATCACCAGAAGCCTGAATTCTTAGACTATGTTGTCTTAGACTGTGTTGTTTACTGGGGAAAGGGATGAGTCAGGATTTATGCTGTTGTGTTTTATAGAAGACAACTATGAGAAATGCATGTATGCAATAGTATTTTTGTGCTTTTCTCAACTGGGATTGCAGATGTTGGCCTTTATGTTACCCTGTGTCCTTTTTGAGAGTATCTACATGACAAATTCCATTTATAAATTTAGTGTCCATAGCCAGAAAATAGTTGCCTCTTCATATGAATTTCTGTTTCATTTTTATCAGGCCATGAGAGCTATGTGACTGAATATGATTGTTTCTACTTTTCCTGCCAGCATTAAGTTTATACCTCAGGGAGAGACTCAGTGAAGGTTATTTCACTGTTCCTTTCTCATTTAATTTTTTTCTTATATTTTATAACATTACTACATTCAGAGTGCAACAACTGCAGCTTCAATTAGGGACATTTTCTCTCCTCTCCAAATTACAGGCTACTAGCCTACAGTTCTTTAGAACTCTTTGCTTTGGGTACTCCCATATTTTAGTATGCATAACCACACAGGTTAGTATGCAGTTTCATCCTTTTTGGAAGTAGACATGGTATAGATTATATACACGCACCCCTCCTTATCTGTTATCTGTGTCACTCCCAGCTTTAATGTATCTTTTAAGATATAGATGTTATATCTTAGAGGACATGAGATGGTCACATTTTAATCTGGATTTGGGTGATATATTACAGTGGTGTCTATTGTACTTTTTTTTTTTTTAACCTTGTATTAAGTCATCAGACCCAAGAACAGTTTTATTTTTTACCTTTGGTTGATTTAAATCCTTCAACCAGGGCCGGCCCGTGGCTCACTCGGTAGAGTGCGGTGCTGATAACACCAAGGCCGCGGGTTGAGATGGTCACATTTTAATCTGGATTTGGGTGATATATTACAGTGGTGTCTATTGTACTTTTTTTTTTTTTAACCTTGTATTAAGTCATCAGACCCAAGAACAGTTTTATTTTTTACCTTTGGTTGATTTAAATCCTTCAACCACAAAATGAAGACCTCGTTGGTCATTGTAGGACTGCCATCCTTCCACTCTCCACCTTACTCCCACTGGCTCCCTCAAGCAGATCTTTCCTGACTGCCCAGCGCAGTCTCCGCATCTCCTGTCGCAACTCCCTTCTCTCTGGGTTGACCACCTCACTCTTGTTCCTGACAGCTCCATACGGCCTGGATCTGTGGAGAGTCCTGAGACCAGCCGAGGTGGATGGAAGAAGGCCAGTGCAGTTGTTGTGGAAGGTGACCTCCCTCTGGGCTATTTTTTTTCCTGTTTAAAAACCCTTGCTCTCTAACTCCTCCAAAAACTGTGATTTTTGACATTTTGCCTCCTGAATTTCCTTCCCTAGAGGGCTTTATGATGCCCCATTCTCACAATGGTTACCCAACTAAAAAAAGCCCCAAAGGTTACCTCACAGGTGGCCCGAATATGCATTACAGACCCTGGCCCCCGTCTTCTTTGGTCTGAAATGTTAACATTTGGGGGCGGTAGAAAGTGCAGGTGCAGGAGGCATTACAACCCTCTGGAGGAAGCTATCACTGGCTGCCCTCCACTGGAAGGCAATTGGAGACCCTGTAGCCCCACCTCATGTCTGAGAAGAGCACTGACTGGGGGCCAGCTCACTGGTGTGCCCTCAGATCATCGCCAACATATGTGGTACACATGTCCTGGGATAGTGGAGTGCAAAGTCAGAAGAAGGGTCAGATGATCCTTTTTAGGAGGAGAAGGAAAAGGCAGGTAGCTAATGCAGAAACGAGGAGAAAGGAGGAAATAAGAAAAGAAAGTGGGAAAAGGAACAGAAAAGGAGGGGGAAGAGGGAATAAACAGGAAAGGAAAAGAGCAAATAGAGAGAAAGACACAGGAAACAGGAGAGAAAAGATGGGGAAGTTGGGAGAAGAAAGGGGGGAGGAAGATACCGTAACTTTTTAGTATGTCTCCAGAATTCTTAGGAGGTACTTAGCATGTTATCTGATACTTGTTAAAGTCCAGGCAAGTTTAATCCATTTGAAAATGTACAAATTGCCTTTCTTTACCAGATGACATTTCATTCCCAATCTCTTCAGGCTTGGAGCACCCTCCTGTCTTTGCCCCTCTTCCTTCATACCCCTGGGGCTGCGGGACACAGGCAGGTTGCAAGAAGCAGCAGGAGTGGGAAGGCCCAACCAGTGGTGCTGGAAAAATTTGAGAATCAATCCCAGATGTTGTGGTTTCTTTCTCAGTCACCAAGGGTGAAAACAGATCACTCTGTCGACACATTGTTGGGGGAGGAAAGCAAGCAGTGACACTTACTCACATGTCATCCTAGCTACACAGCAGTGGGTAAGGGTCAAGTAGGCCAACCTGTAAAGTAGGTGAGATGGGCTCCAGTGCCCTCCTCCTCCCCCTTGCCTGGGGACTGGTCTTCCTTTTGCATCAAGAGGAGAGAGTTTGCTAAGCATTTGAGTTGTTTAAAAAAGAATGTACTAAACAGCTCTAAAATTAGTGATGATGGTTGTACACTGTGATATGCTAAGAACCATTGAATGTACACTTTAAAACAGTGAATTTTATGGAATATGAATTATTCCTCAATAAAGCTGTTATTTTCAAAAGAGAATGGGTTGTCTTGATAGATAAAAGGCTCTTAATCACTAACCTTTTATGCCGTGGTTGATGTAGAGGAAATTTCTGAACTGGGAAGGCAGTGGGACGAAGTGACTTCTAAAGTCCTGTCTGATGTTACGTTCAGTCATTCTGCTCCATCCGTGTGTGTAATCAGTAACAGAAAGTGAACAACAGAGAAGCCCTGTAATTCTTGGGAAACACTCAGCATGCTGGCTCCTAGGTAAAACCTCTGATTAGTGGCCCAAGTTCAGGGCTGAAAATAGAGTTTGGCTTGGAGCCCTCGGGGTTCAACCTTAAGCTTCTCACCAAGGGTTTGGGACTTGTAGGGCAGCCCTGAACTTTTAGTTCTCCTAGCTGGAATGCCTGGCTAGGGTGTCTCGTCCAGGGAAGCTGGCTCCCTCCTCAGAAGGGGAGATGTGGAGATAAAAGACGCAGGGCATAGATACTTTCCAACCCTTGGAGACTTCCAGGCAAGAGATGACCCAGGGCCAGAACAGACTCGGGATTGGCTCGAGGGAACACCTCAGCGCATAAGATAAATAAGGAGATAAGATAAAAGCAGAAATAAGGGTGGCTTGCTTACACTGGTTTGGGCATTCTCTTAGTTTAACCTCATGGAATTAGACTCAGGTTAAGGGTTGATATCAAGGTATCAGTTAGTAAATCCCCTTTTGTGGCACTTTAAGGGTTAATATCACAGCACGGGGCATGTTATTCATCCCTGGGGGGTAATTACCTGATTGTACTTTAGCATCTAATAGCTCACATTATCCTCACTCCCCATCCTCACCACTCTTCACTGTCTCCATGCCTTTCTTTTTCTGTTGTTGGCAATATGCCTCTGGGTTCAGAAGGCAAGAGGAGCCCCAGTCCTGGAGAAAACCCTTGGCTACAACGTATGGTACTTTCCGGAAAACAACACTAACCTCACAGAGACAATGAACACCACTAACCAGCAGCTCGAACTGCATCTGGGAGGCGAGACCTACTGGGTGTCTGTGATTTCTTATAATTCTCTTGGAGAGTCTCCTGTGGCCTCTCTGAGGATTCCAGCTATTTATGAAAAGTGTAAGTAGAGCATAAACTTCTTACTTAGGTGCCTGGTCCCATCCAATGGGACAAGGAGCAGTTCCTATCCTCTCAGGGGTAGCTGTTTCTCTTGAGTCCAAATGCAAATGGAGTGGGGAATTTTTAGGTTGTGGTGGGGAAAACAGAATCTGCTGGTAATTAATGAGCCCTAGAAGTAAAGTTCCCGTGGGACAAAACCTGTGTTAAAAATCAGAGACTTCATAAGTCACATAAGGACTTTTTCTACATGCAACTTTTATTTGTTTTGGTCTAAGTACATGTCAACTGGGTTAAGCGATGTAGAAGTGTCTATTTTGTCACATTTGTCCTCAGTGACTCAAGCCTCTCTCACACGCTTCCCCCACAGATGGGTATTAACCAGTCCCCAGCCTTGGTCGAATGCTCACGTTCCTTTTTCCTCCTTTCCCCGATTCCATCTGATTGCTAAGTTAGGAAAAATTCTGACATTTATACTTGCCGATAAATTGCTCATTTCACTTCTGATGAAGCAGTTTGTAATACCGCTCACAGGCAAACTTGTATTTTGTATCCTGTTTTGGAATAAAATACCTTCTTTGATTCTTATTCAAGGAATTGCAGGCAATAGATTTCCTCTTCCCTGCTTTATTTTTCTGTATCAAACTTAGCATCAGCCTTCATTCTATGTATTTTCTCATTTATTTTATTACCTTTCTCTCCCTCAATAGGATACAGGTTCCATGAGGGCAGGGATTTTTGTCTGTCTTTCTTTTCTTTTCATCTAATTGCTAATGCCTTGAATAGCACAGAGCAGTTGCCATAGAGCAGGCGCTCAGTAACTATTAGTTGAAACACACCATAGCTAGGGAATGAACTCTCCAATTCACCACATCTCTCTGTGGGCTTCGAACTCAGGCTGGTTCAGACATTCACACAACCAGCACCAGATTTCTCTGCCTGTCCTCCCTTCCTTCTCTCTCCTTACACTTAACCCACTTTTTCCCTCAGTTTAGAACTCCTAGACATTCTAGGAGTATAAATTGAGCTATACTTGATATTATTTTAGTTAGTCTCTAGTAGTTGTTCCCATAGTCCTTAGTTCCTGACATCCTAGTTCCTGCCTATCCAATGCCCTCCTGATGGAGTTTCTGACAAATGTGTCATTTGAATACACAGTTTTTGTTGATAGAGGCACTGCTGAACAGTAATCTCGATTTCCTGGTGTGGCCCCAGAATGGGAAGCAGTAAAGACAAGGAACAAAAGCATGGGCTTTGGAGCCCAACAGCCCTGGGTTCGAATCTTTGCTCTTCCACAAGATACCGTTAACCTTGGGCAAGTTACCTAACCTCTTTAAAACTTAACTACTTATAAAATGGAGCTATTATACAATAATACCTACCTCATAAAGCTGTTATGAGGATTAAATGAGATTGTGTATGTAAAATGCTTTGTCTAGTGCTAATTATTACTGTTATTATTCTTAATAACATTTCCAATTATTTAAATTTCTATTAGGCATGGATTATCAATTTTAAAAATATGATAAAATATACTTTAACAAAAATTATGCTAAATTCATTTAGGTTTTTTCTGGCTTTGTGTCAGAAGCATAAGTGTGACCATCAGTTATAATGGTCCGAGACCAGGTGTTGGCAAATCACAGCTTGCAGATGAATCTGGTGTGACATGTGTTTTCATAAATGAAGTTTTACTAGAACACAGCCATACCTATTGGTTTACATATTGTCTATGGCTTCTTTTGTGCAACAATGGCAGAGTTGAGTAGTTGTGCCAGAGACCATCTAGCCTGTAAAGCCTAAAATTTTACTATCTGGCTCTTTACAGAGAAACTTTATAGACCCCTGTCCTAGACAGCCAGAAATTAATGTTCTATAGAATTTTTTTTTAATAAAATGGAGACAACTGGAGAATAGTTATAATAATAATAATTTTTGTAAGAATAAATGTCTGGCTCTTTACAGAGAAACTTTATAGACCCCTGTCCTAGACAGCCAGAAATTAATGTTCTATAGAATTTTGTTTAATAAAATGGAGACAACTGGAGAATAGTTATAATAATAATAATTTTTGTAAGAATAAATATCATTAAGTATAATTATCATACATTGTCCATTAGTGTGTGTCAGGCATTGTGCTAAGATAAGTTCCAGAGGCTGGGAACTTATACTGGAACTTATCAATAGATATCAGGGTATCACATCATGAGAGAAATGGCCTGAGAGAAATGGCCTGAGCAAGACAGCTAACCTTCTCACTCACTCTCTTTATAAAGCCATCAGAACCACACGCATGATTACTCACTACTTCATGAATGGATCAATCCATTCATGAGGGCATAGTCCTCATGATCCAATCACCTCTCAAAGACCCC